GGCTCTTCACTTCCACTGTTGAGCCAACCTGAGACCAGAGATATATAACATTATGACTTTTCATGCAATAAACTTGTCACACAAAGCAGTTTATACAATATTCAGTAAAAAAAGAGCCAACTTTTCTTTTAGAATTAAACATTGTGTATGATATAAAGCACTTTTGCCTTATAATTAAGAGAGTGCACAAGGTGTTCAGTTTCTTCAAACAGTAATCCAGCCATAACTGTACTTATTCACTGATACTCAAAATTAACATGTTAAGTGCCAAATTTCAGAGAAAAAAATTTGGCTTTTGCAAGTAAACAAATACAGAAGTAGTCGCCATTCTGTCTGTTAACCTGTATTATAACATAATACATGATTTTAATCACATTGTAAGAAAAACTGAAACATGCTCATCTTGTACATAAGGTTTGTTTGAGACAATGACATACAGTTTTAATCACAAATTATGCAAGTGAAAAAAGTAAAGATTTTGGCCAGTAGGAAATACTAACAGACAGTTAATTTTCTCAGGTAATTCGGTATTAACAGGCATGGAAGAAAGTTCGGTTTAAACATGGCTACAACCGAGCTGTATCTTCTTATAAGTGTTGCATGAGTAAGAAATAACCAGTCGCTTTATTACAAGCATTACAGGAAACTTCATTTGAATTAACTGCAGAGTCAATGTCCAAAAAATGTCTCTCTTACCCTTAAGGGTCCTTTGACTTGGTCATCTTGGACGACTTGTGAGGTGCTGTCTCCTTTAAGCACAACCTGCAAACAAAAACGGTATAAAATATAGAAAAGTTCACCAAAGCATGATGATGAGAGCAAAATGGATGGGAAGGCAGTAGCAGTATAGTTCAGCGAAGGTGAATAATCTGGTTGTGAAACAGACATCGTGTTCTTCATGATCTCTCTCAAACAAGCTTCTTAGTGAGTGTCTACGTACACTGTGAAGAGCAACTACTTGGAATCTCCTTGCAGTCAAACTTAAGAATGTGCAACACAAACTTCAGGCACGTGTCGCTCTGTTTTACCCAAGGCTGTCTTGTTTCAGTCGGATAATAGTCGTAGAATTCAGTCGGATAATACAAGAACAGTCCACAAACTAAGATCTTAAGAAAACATTGATGACGTACAACGAGGTCTTGCAAAAACAGAAGAGTGTGGATTAACCTTAAAACAACATACTTATGATTGGTAGGTGCCGATCCAAATTAAGCCATTTGTAAGCTTATTGTTCGTTCTCACAACATAAATGAGTTTCTGTCTTATTGACTACTCTATATAGAAAGATGGACGTTTTATACAGGAGATGCTTGAATGGTCTGCGGAGCTGGTTCACAAAGCAGAATCATCACCTCCTGCTTTTCTTTTATGGGCCTGCTATGTTACTAAATCTTGCATTGTGAAGTGCATCAAACACTTCTGCAATAAAGCAACACAACCCTTTTATAATAACCAATCTGTGTATTATCACCAGCAGAAAATGACACTTTTGTTAATCCTCCATGTCATCTGACACTGGCTTGACAGATAAGATGCATTGCACTCTGAACTTACTCCTTCACAAATGTTTTTTTTTTAGAAAGCTACAGAAAAAGCTCTAAAAAGATTGTTAGATGACTGATGATGCACATTTAAAGAACTACTTGATGGGGACAAAGTTTAAAAAGTATAAGTTACAAAGCGATATATACAATATGGCAAATCTTAACTGTTTCGACACTTATATTGTTGCAAATCAAACTGTGTTATTGCCCAGTGATATAAAGTTGGATATATAGTACACAACTTTATCCACCTGTACAGTATACTCACATTTAACAATATACTATATAGTAAATCTCAACTGCTTGATTTTATAGATCATCACAAAATGGAACTATATTGTCGCTCAGCGATATATTTAAGATGACTGATAGCTGACAATGCACATCAAGAACTATTTAACAGGGACAAAGTTTTAAATGTTTAAGTTTCAAAGCAATATATACTATATAGCAAATCTTAACTGTACGATTGTTTTATCATCACAAAATATTACACATATTATCACCCGGCTATATTCTGCTAAATTCTGACTATAAAACATTAAGATATTACAGACATTAAAATCACGATTTGCTTTAGAGCTGCTTTGAAACAATGCGTATTGTGAAAAGCACTATACAATTAAAACTGACTTGACAAGATGAACAGATAAGACTTATATCTTACAGATAGATTAAACTTACCTTAACTTTCACAATGCGTTTAACAGTCTTGATTTTTGCCTCGCAGAAGGCACCACGGTACTTTGCGCTCACATCCGTCCCCACAGTCAGGTAGGCAGGTTCATCTGCTACCTGTGGACAGTGTAAATATCATTAAGGCGCACAGACAAATTCATACAAATACTTACTCTCTGCATAGTTATGGTTATGAAAAGCGTGGGCAAAAACACCTAAGAATACTTTAAAAAGTAACAGCAACAGCACTCAAATGTTATGAAAACTACCCTTTTGGTTATTCTGAAAGCACCTAACGTTACACAGTCCGACTACCCCAATCATTGAACTACTGAGCTTTTCTGATCACAATATCTATAAAGACCCCATCCATACGTGATTCATTCACTGAAGTGTTTTGTTCCAGATGCTTGTTAGGCTTCATTCAGGGAGGCGTCGCCTATCAGAACTGCAGAGGACCACAGACTCACCTTCATCTTGATGGCTATTTGAGGGAGTCCAGCTCGAATGGTTTTGACTGCTGAAACAGAACAACACACACGCATAAAGAAACGGAGTCACGATCTGGCGCCATGTGCTAAAAAACGTGTCATATGTAACGTTATACGTGTGAAGGATTTGACAGCACAAAACAAATACACACAACAGAGAAAATGCTAAAGCAGCTAACGCGGCTAGCCACTTCTCGTCCTCCTTCCTTCAGAATTATCAAATAAACAATACCAACCCATCAAAACACAGCTTTAACTGCCTCACCGTGACTTTACCTCCAATCCGAGCCACTTATGATGTCTTGATGGTGTAAAAACAAAGCACGGAGTCACTGAAGGAAAACATAACCCCTTCAAACCCTGCGTGTTTCCTTCCCGCTTCACTCACT